CTGTGTAAAGTTACAATACAGATACAGTCTCTATCTATAAATCATGTAACAGAGAACTAAAGGTGTATCTGTCAAACAAACCACTCTTAGTTCTTGCCAGATTAACATACCTTGTCTGTACCCAAAGCACCTGCCTGTTACTGCTGCTTAACTTTCAGACAGTAAATCATTGAGAGGGTTGGTTGCTTTTAGTACCTTCTGAAGCTGGGCTAACACCTAAAGGATGCTTGTCAGCTCTCTCAAATAACCCAGTTAAAGTCAAGGTAAAATAAAAATATTTTGAATAGTTCATGTATGAATAAATACATTTCAAACCCCTTAAATCTGAGGCCTGATTAACGATTTCTGTGCAATCTAACTAGAATCTTTGACAAAATGCAGCTAATTGGGTCAGTACTTGGTTGCAGGCAGTTTTATTTGAGTTACATATGTTGTGTAAGGTGTTCAGGTACTTCAAATTCATGAAAAATACTCTGCGTGAGAGAGTATTTTGAAATAAGCAAATGACACACACCTTACCGTGTTGTGAATTTTATTTTAACATACATGTAATGGAAGAGATAAGAAAGAATGTTGATATAGAAAATACTAGCTTAACATGTTGGATGCAGAGAAAAGTAAAAAGAAAATTATGATAAATATGCATGTGGAGAAGGTAACTGTACAGATTGTGACACTGTGAATGAGTGGCAAAGATATGGATGGCTCTGCTGTTTCAGAGATATCTTCATGGTGAACACAGTTGCACAAAAGTTTTTGCTTTCCCTCCCATCTGGAGAATGTTACATATTCAGAACCCTTGAGGCATTCAGTGTATCCTTGGAATGTTGTTATGTTGTCACAGCAAAATTGTATTACAGTCCTGACAACGAAGAGAAGTACAGAGACTGTACCTAGGTTAAAAGATTCCTTCATCTTCCTCTAATGATATCATCAGCTTTTGCACTAAGCAATTTGGAAACTTCCTAGGGAGGTATTTTATAGATAAAAGCAAAAAAATTGAAATGCACTCATTTAGATAGACCTCTGTCTATCTAAATTAAGACATTCAATCTTTTAGTTTGTGCTTTTGTAATATAAGAGCTGTCATTTCATTTCCACTTTCTGTCCCTGCCATCTATTATTCCCTTCTACTTACGGACACCAAGGCAGGTCTAAATAAATGCAGTATGACCCCCAGAGTTGACATTTTCGCTGCTTGTCAAGCTATTCATTTTCTTCTTTTTTGTTTCCTGAATACTTCCTATCTGTGTCTTTTACATATTCTGTAGCTACTTCTGATAACCCAGGCTGGAACCTGGGTCAACCAGGCATCTCTTGTCACAGTGAAGATTGCAGCATGGGAGAGGCAGCCTGAGGGAGGCTTGTGTTCTTTGCATGATCAGATTTAAATTGCTGTTGTGTTTTCTATTTGTAAACCTTTCCTTCCTTCCTTCCTTCCTTCCTTCCTTCCTTCCTTCCTTCCTTCCTTCCTTCCTTCCTTCCTTCCTGCCTTCCTTCCTGCCTTCCTTCCTGCCTTCCTGCCNCTCCCTCCCTCCCTTTTTCTACAATTAATTTAGTACTTTCCTATATCAGTATCAATGAGCCTGATCAATTTAATTGATTACTAAATTGTTGGTAGTGCACTTCCTTCAGAACAGCTAACACTGCTCTTCTGGATTAACAGTTTTCTTAATCAAATACTGTTTATGACTCTGAAAGTTAAAACCCCAGTGCATTTTACTGGGAATTGGAAATAGAAAACAAGGTGCTGGAAAAGAAAAATGAAAGCACCTTCCTGACATGTCTGTTTTGCATAACACAAAAGGGTATTATTATTTAGCAGTTGACTTTTTTCCCTTTGCTCTGTGTAGTGACTGCTAGAGATACTGATTTAATCAACCAACCATGCAAGCACAATGATTGTGAAACGAGATCCTTGTGAAGTGAACAAATGTTTCACAGCAAATTGCCAAGGGATACCAGCTACTCTGCTCTGGTGTTGCTCAAATAGATTGTCTTTTAAGCAGTTGCCTCATGAAAAGCCTTTGTTATGTATGGACCTTTAATCAAAATGTCACTAAATCCTGCATTCTGGGATGCTTCATTTGAAACACATCCAATGCTCTTATTTATTAAATTGTCCAGTGTCAAATGCAGCCACCATTATCCCTAGTAAGCAAAGATGGATGAGGGAGTGACAAAAACCTTGTGTCACAGCTGAGATCAGTTGTGCGTGTGTGATGTCTTGATCTGTTTGTACAACCCTCTTGGGGACCATTGGGCAATTAAGTTCACCCATTTCAAACACAGCCTTTTCTGTACACTCTGATTTGATAGGAGAATGGGCAATTCCCAGTAATGACTACTACATCAATTATATTGCATTGTATTGGTGCTTAATTAGAGAATGTGTTGAAACTGGGGAAGGGGACAACTGGAAGAGGGGAGGGTTGGCTCCCAAGTAAATGTCAGAGACCTTTCTTTAATAGCCTGTCTTTTTAATGTGCATTGAATGCACTGACAAGCACTGTGGCCTCCTGACCTTCAAGCATTTACCCCTGCCTGAGAAAGGAGAGCGAAGCTGCTTTGAGAAGGAATTGTTTTAGAGCTGAATTACATTTAGTGTCATTCTTGTTCAGCTTTACTGTGAAGTGACCCTTACAGCCCTTTAGCCCTGCTTGCACAGTTGGAAACCATTTCTGTGCCTGAGCTTTCTGAATCAAACACTTGCAGTCTCTTCAAACAGCCTTTCAAAAGTGAAACCCAAACATCATGAACGTGAACTCTTATTTTTCTAAGGATCATGTAAGTAATCCGTGAGCTATCTTTAAGAGTTCTTTAAAAGAAAAAGAAAGAACCCAAGGCTTTCATATCACTCAAATAATGACATTAAACACTATCCTTCAATCTCCAGTTTCTTCAAACTTAAGACTAGTGGTGTAAATCACAAATGGAGGATTACAGCAGAAATATAAGGCCTGCATGGTTGTTTATGACTGAACTGGCCTGCAACACCTAACACCAGCTATTTTCTAAAGGTTAATTTTCTAAAGCAGAAGACTGCAATATGGTTTTGGTTGTTGTTGATTCTTTACAAAGTAATAGCATTGAAATTTTCTGGTAGTTTACAGTATGCTAGCATTCTGATACACAGCTGCTCTGTCTAACACCCTGGAGAAACAGCCAAGGCTTTAATTCATCTAAGGTTCTCCTGCACCAGCCTGTGCAGGCATTGTCCTGATCCTGTGATCAGGAGTCCTGACCTCCTGTTTCCAAGACAGCAAACTGCAGTGTGTGTGGGGGGAACACACTGACAACCTCTTGAGCAGGAGGAGAAGAATGCATTGCTTATTTCTCATATACTATTAGCCTTTTCACACAGCCATTAATATGCATCTGCATCCCAGAAACAACGACGTGCCAGCTGCGCCTTTAGGAAAACTCCGTGTAATTCAGCATGACTTTGTGAAATGGAAAGAATTTAAAGACAGTGTGGCTATGCAAATTTTGATGTTAATTTCTGTAGGAACTTAATATTCTGTGCCATTCTTTTGCCTGTGCAATAATCTCTACTTTGCATCTTCTCTCATGGTATTTTACTTTTTGTTTTAAATGCCAGCACTGAATGCAGATTGTGCGTATCTTTCAGAATATGGAATCAGTTTAGGTCTTTCCAAAAAAAAAAAGTCTCTTCATTACTCTAAATGCTATTACTACAAATGCCACAGCAGTGGCACATTAGGGTGGTGACAGTTTTGCACATTGGAAGTCAGGCTTTGAAAGAAAGAATATATTTGCAAAGGAAACAGCTGATTAATTTGGATGTGTAGCTTTCATGTAATACGCTTTGGAGTACACTGTACAACAAATTTTTTTAAAAAGTATTTAATAATTTAAAATAATATAATAAATTAGAAGAAAAGTAGCTTTACATTGGTGGTGTATATTTGTAGTCAGGTAGATTTTTTTTCTTAGACTAATAGGTTTATCATAAGGGGACATTCTGATATCTGGTGTAATACATGTTTTATTTATGAAGCCTTGACATTATTAACAAGGGGGATCAACTCCACAGAAAAATGCATTTGAATAGAAGTTATAAAATTTGAAGCTTGGTAGCAAACATAGTTGTGTGAAAAACCCCTACACTTTATCAACCTTTGTTCCTTGTTTAGTGATTAAATGATCATAGAATATTCTCAGTATGAATTTCATATTAAATAACTGTTATAAATAATGTATCTTTTTAGTAATTTTATCAATTTCATACAAACTTATAAGGAAGATTTTCCATATACAATCATGGCCTATCTTTCAGAGCACAAGAACACCTGATTGACTTCAAGCATTTCTCAATTTTCACTTTTAGCTTTCACATTTATGCAAGTGACAAACTAAGAAAAGACAGACTTGGTGTCCAGGATCTGAGTGCAGCCTCCCAATTGTGTTGTGTACTTCAATTCTGTGATTAGTGTAACTTGCATAGGGGCAGTTAATCACCTGCTTCTGTACCTCGCTGCAGCAAAGCACAGGCTGGGTACTTCAGGCTTTTGCTGGTGCCAGTGTCAGTCCTGGGTGTTGGAGTTCTGCTGCTACAGCCAAAACCTACATCAGACAATCAGATAAAAATAGAGCAATGAGTAATGCAGCTCCCTGATGATGCTGTCATTGCCTTAGTTGCACTTGCCTAATATATGCCATGAGAGGCAAAGTACTTTAATACTATTTATTTTCCCCTAAACCCACCCCCAAAATTTAAAAACAAGCAAACAAACAAACTTGATTTTTAATAAAGGTGCTGATTTATACCTTAATTCCCTGAGGAGGAGCACTGATTGAAGAGTGCATCCATGTGTTGCTAAACTCAAGGGAAGCTTTGCTGATCAGTTCCTCAGAAGTGTAGGTGATGACATAATGAGGTGAACATGGGGTCATTTCTCTCAAAGCTTATCTTGGCTTTCCTGTAAGTATAACTTAAACCAAAACAGTAGATCAAACTAACTGCATGTTTTAAGGAGATAAATATATGTGTCTTATTGTGGCAGCCTGTACAATTTATTCAGTTTGAAGAACAGACAAATCCAGTCCATATGTGCAGCTTCTGCTTTAAATATGTGTGAAAACAAGGTACTGAAGTTGTTAGGGCATAAATCGGGTGGCTTAGATGAAATACTCAGTTGAATCAGTGCACATGCGTGATTATGAATGTGTTCCTGGTTTGAATCTCAGTTTTTTCCATTAATCTCTTCTTTACTGGTATCCAATGTATCATATTTTAACAGGCTTTTTTTAATTTTTTTTTCTTTTGGTGTTAAAATATAATGCTTATTAGTGTGGGGAAGAAGTAATTTCAGTATAAATTATGGTTAAAGTATGAGTGTGATATGTTAAACACAGCTGATAAAGTAATTGTTTGCCTGAAATGTCTTAGCAAAATTGTGCTGTTAAGCACTTTGTAAAATTCCATTACAACTGAGATTTATTTTTCAATCATTTTTTAAGACATGCTTTTTTATTCTCCAAAGGCATTATGCTATTAACAGATTTTCCATATAATACAGAACCATCAAAAATAGCAGCATTTACATCTTAATTTGCATAAGGACTAGCTTCTAATCCAGGTTCCATTGTTGAAGTACTGGAATAACTGCACTGATGTAAGTGAGATTCAGTTTCAGTCTCCTTACCACACATGTGTAATTTTAGTAGAATATCTATGTTTTTACTGGAGAAATTTAACTGAGACCAGATTGCATTAAAGAGTTGCCAGTTGCTTTGGACACTCTTTAAAAAGTAGTTATCAGAGGTGAAGCAAAGAGATGATGAGAGGCATATTACCTGCTCTTTTAGGGGGGATCTCTGGTGGGTGCAAATACATCCAGGTGTCTTAGCAATGCCTTCTCCTCCAAGAGATCTAGATCCTGGTCCATATGTTAGGTTATTGAAATTTGTAACTAAATGCTTGTTTTTAATCTGGTACAGATTAGAAAGAAATTAGGGAGTCTGCATTCTGAATTTCTATTCCTCAATCACAAAAACGGTAACTGGATTTGGAAAGTTTGATTGCTTTTTCAAGGGTAAGCAATAAATGGTACTAAATGTATATCATATTGTAAAAGTCTTTAATGAAACATATCTGAGCTCTACTGGCAGTAATTTGAGCTGAAAATTTGTTATGTCTTCTCTGTTGAACTGTTTTAGCAGTATAATCTTTGATAATTAAACCTTAATAATTTTTAAGGAATTATTTTTACAGCTTTATAGCAATTTTGCAGCTGACTGTGTCAGGCTTGCATTAAAAATTTAGCTTAAATTATTAAATGATATTTTGTGCAACTGCAATTTCCATGAGAGGATATTTTTCATGTTATTTGCTAGGAAGCTTTAGACTGCAAAAGAACACTTTTGGCAAAGTAAAGAGAAATATTTTTGAAGCAGAAACTATAATTATGAACATGTATAGTTAAACACCTCTTAGGCACTTGGCTCATATTGAATAAGGTTATAAAATAACAGGACCATGCTCTTGAAAGTGGACACCATATTGAAGGGATTACTTGATCAAGAAGGAGTGCTTAACATCTGGATGCTTTGAAGAACCTGCTGCACACTTGTTAAATGTAAAGTGAAGTTACAGATGAAGAGTTGAAATATGAGGCGAGGTTATTTCAGAGAGAATGAGCAGCACTCAGTGAGTCCAGCCTCTGGGTCAGAGGGGGCTCTTTCCAGATCCATCTGTGAAGCCTTCTGACGGAGGTATTTAGGCAAGGTTTTGTTGGAAGGTGAGAACAAAACAGCCATTCAGGCTGTGCTCCAAAAGAGATGTTGGGGTGAAGGAGTTAGTTTGACCTAGAAATCCTTGGTGAGAGTTGAGAAAGGTTTTTGCTTCTCTTGGCAATGGGACAAAGGCTAAGCAACTCATGGTGCCATTCACAGTTGACCATTTCCATCTTGGAGCCTGCCACTGGGACTCAATATTCTTCTCAAAGCAGTGTTTTCTCAAAAAAAAAGTACATAGAAAACGGTACATGGTGGATCTGCCCTTCGTGTGCCACAAACAATTGGCTTGCCACTGACTTTTTCATGGAAATCAGTGGTGGAGCTTAAATATCCTGAGCTGCTGGCCCAAAGGGCCGTTCCTTTGCCTTCTGTCTGTTCCAATGCTGCATCTCTGGATTCCTTGTTCCCAATTTATCCATGGTACAGTGGGAGTCCTTGAAAGAACAGTTGGTAGAACAGTAATTCGTGAGTGCTCCTGAGAGCTTCTGTGAAGTTCTGTGTTCTGTGAACACTATGATGGAGATGAACTATGTTCATATGGAGAAGGAGTGTTTGGGGGAAAAAAATGGAAAAAATGCCTTCTGTGACTGGATGGCTTAACCACATAAATTAAAAGCTTAAAATCAAGTCTGAACATTAGGATGTCTGCTACTAAGAATCAAATGTATTCTGAAGAGATTTCCGTCTACATTGACATTTTCTGTCTACAGAATGACAGACATGACAGAGAAATTATGTCTTGCTTCCCAAATGTTACCATTTGAGAAATGTAAAATAACTATTCAAAGCAAGGGTTTCACACTTTGAAAATGGGAAAAGAACAAAAGGGGCCATCTGGCCTTGACCATTGGGGCTATCTTATGTCTGGAAGGTCCTTGCAGACTACATGAGCAGCAGCCAGTCATGTTTGGGAAGACAAGGTGGTCAAAGAGGGTAAAGAAACAAAGTACTAATTTTTCTTCTTGCCAGCAAAGGAAATATCTTTGGCTGTGGAGCACAAGATGCAGAAGATTTTGTGGATCCATTTTTATGCACAGAGATCACATAGCTTCTATATTTTTCTCACTCAGTACAGCCAAATGTCATGAATTAATCTTTGCTTCACTTTTATTACACAAATATTTTTCCAAGCATTTATACAAAATTGTGTGATATATTTTTAATGGATAGTTAGCACTTGATATATATTCCTGTATCATTACATTGGCAGTTGAATAGAAGTGGGGTCTTCAACACTTGCAGAACACACCTCTTTTCGCCTAAATTTCTGAATCCTTACCTTAATTTCAAACTGTTACTTACTGTATAAATTACGTATACCTTATAGTTATAAGTACCTTCAAATAGCACATTAGCAAATTTTCAAACAACAGAAGAAGGAGTATTGGAGGAGTGTGGATCACCCCAAAGTGATAACACTACTCTAGTATAACCATAGAAGTCATAGAATGAGGTGAGCATGTCTTTGGATGATCAAATTGAATCCCCTCTGTGGAATCTAACTGGACTATTACAAGCATTGTAGTAAGATCTGGAAAATTCACAAAAACTTCGATGGATTTTGTTGCCTTCATGTGTTTTTATGTCATATCTCAATTATATAACACTCTTTTATTCATTTTCTGGCTATGGAGACAGTGGATGTTCAAGAGGTTGATCTGATAACAATGGGATTTTAGTGATCTTTGCATCAGTTTCTTCATATCCAGCCCCTTTCATTCTGTTTTTAGAGTCAGTGGAATTTTGGTACATTATGAAAATTCAGTATTTCACAAAACTTGCCTTTATTTCTCCTTCCAAAGCCTTGTTGTCTATAAATTTATTCATTTGTCCCAGTACCTGAAAGATGAGTGCTGTCAGCCTAGGTCATGAAAGAAACATATAGTGGTATTTAAAATCACTAGTTGTGCAGTGAGAGGTATAAATGCAGCAACATGGGTAATTTCTGGGTAGAAAGTTAATAATTCTCTTGTAACTTCCATTCACATGCCTTCTATAAATTACTGTAAGAATTTCTATTTGCCCTTCGGTGTTGCCTAAGAGTGACAAAGAATGGTTGTGAAGACTGTTGCTATGATAATTTTGTAGCCTTTTCCCCCTCCTTCATTAACAGAAAATCTTCTTAAAAACATCTAAACCTAAAAGTGAAGTTTTTTTCTGAGCAAGAAAATAAAGTGGGGTTAGCCTGGAAAAATATAGCAAGGCTTACTCTCTCAGTTTCTGAAACTAATCTCATTTATCTTCATTTTCTGAACACCACTTTTCAATTGAATCAGAAGCAGTGTGTTATGTATTTTTTTCCTTTCTGATAATCAGAGAAATATTGACCTATTTTGAAAACACTTCTTCCTCTCACTACTGAGAGCTTTCATTACTGCAGTTGTTGGTATTTTTATATACAAGAACTATAAAGAAACTTGGGTTGAATATAATCTTAACTGTAGAGAACTGGATGTGGAGCACCAACAAACCAAGTGACTCTGATTGTCAGAGTTCAGGTTTATCCTTGCCTCTTTAGATTATAATACATTATCCAAGCAGAAGTCAGCTAATGGACCTTAAATTAGTGTGAGTGGTCTACAAAGATATGGCATATCATTACATGGATCTACTTTCCTTGAAGTCAGCAGAAAAATTCTTCATCAGTTTCAGCAGGGGAAAAAAAGGTTATACCCAGGTTACTCTTCATCAAGATGTCTTGGTTTTTTTACCCTTGTAATTGAGCAGTGCTCTGCTCTGCAAGTACAGGTTTAATATAAAAATAGGTTTTAATGAAATGAAAAGAAAGTTTTTTTTATTCTAGCACCTGATATCTTTATTTCTGTCAGGAGTGTGGCTAGGGGTTAAAAATCCTTTGACTTTAGCAAATATAACCGTCTTTTTTTAAAATAATGAGAAAAAATACAATAAGAAAAGGAAGAAAACAAAATCTTCCTGTGCTGTCAAAATCGCTGTTTCACTAGGTTGGCTAATCACATAATGTGGATGGATGGCTCTTTAGTGTTTTGGCTATTTTATCATCAATCTGATCACAGCCCAGGTGACAGGAGCAGGGCTGTACCTTCTAATCCCACAATAAATGACCCGTGTCTGTCTATCTTTAATCAGACAGGTCCTTCCATCATTCAGATCACTTGGAGGAGTCTGTGGGAAGTCATGTGCACGCTCCTTTTGTCTTGTCACTGCTTCATACAGGCACAACCTGTGTGTGGGAGGAGGGAGTTACAGTCAACTGTCCTGCAGAACATAATCACCTTTCAGTAAGACATCCATTGCAATGTTTGTGCCAAACTAATAACGATAGGAACAAACCAGCCTTTTGTACAGGCTTTGTGTTGGTGCCCTTTGCAGGAAAAAAATGACTGCTGCTTCTTTAAGCCATGGGGACTCTGGTTTGCTGTGACAGCTTTCCAATTGTTAAATAAACTCTGACCATGAGCAGCTGTCAGACAGATACTGCACTGCAGGCTTCAGTTAAAAGGAGCATCAGACAAGCATTTCAGTGCCTAAGGGCCCTTATTTTTATTTTTTTTTTCTAAAGACACACTTAAAAAAAACCCAAAACCACAATGAGATAATGCAATTCCTTAATTGAAAAACAAAAACAAAAAAAGAGTTTAATTTTATAAACTCTGTGCAATTTTCTTGTGAAAGTTACAGAATTGTGAGTATGTCCATTTCTGAGAAAAAGCCTATGTGGAGCATGAAATGTCTCAAATGTACACTTTTGTCAGATAGCAAGGTAGGAAATTCAGATGCAGAAATCCAGATATTAGACTTTATAAATATGACTAATCATATTCAGATTCTTGTGGGAAAGGAAGAGGAATTAGACTGAGCTTCCTCAAAGTCATAGAATGTCATTTTATTATTTGTAGTTTTGACAATGATCTAACACAACACTTCGGATGTTACTGCTTTTTGCCATCTAACAACTTGAGATGACTGAAGATGTCCTTGTTCATTGCAGGGGGGATTGGACTGGATGACCTTTAAAGGTCCCTTCCAACCCAAACTATTCTATGTTTCCATAATTCTGTGATGATGTTGTACCCTGATGCACGGGAAAGCAAAAAAAGGACAGTTTTCACTACAGAAGGTCTAACAGGCTAACTCAAATATGCAAGGAAATCATCTTAAGGTTAATATATAGTGAATATGTTGGAAGAAGCCTTATTATTTACATTATAATTGCAGCTGGGGAGGGAGATTGCCATTCAGTTAGGAAGAAGGTGTACTTCCTCCTATTCCAATTTTACAGACTGATACTCTCTACCATTACCTTACTAAAAGTCAAGCTGGAGAATTTGGACTAGGAATCAAAGTTGTCCAGAGCTCCACTAGAAGGTATGTAGAACATAGGTTCAGCTCACCTGGCTGAGTCAGTCAGCTCTGGACAGGCCTTTTCCTGCTCACATTGAAGCAGAAGCCCAGCTCAAACACAAATTAAAATCAAACCAAACCCAAAAGAAAACAAAAACTAGTCATGGTGACTAATTTCAAAAGTCAAGGTGTGGGCTAGGAGTTCCAGACAATATATAAGAAGTATTGATTGAAAAATCAGTATTTTTTTCATGTTCAACAGAAAAAATTATTCATATTTCATTTACAAGTAATAGTAAGTACTGGTTTTAAGTGTAGCTTCTTCCAAAATTTCAAATTTAAGTAAATAACTAACTAGTTAGCTAATGTTTTCACCATTCCAGTTTTATTTAAAGACAGAGAGGAATATATCCAGTAAAACTACAAAGCAGTAGGAAATGGAAAAAGTCAATTTAAAAATCAATCCTCCCTCATTTTTTCTATCGACTTCTGTTAGAAATAACACCCACAATTTTTATAACTGACATGGATCATATAAAATTCTCAGGGTGTTCAATTATTTATTTTATGCTTTTGAAAACACTTTTGGGTAATGGGTTTCACTTTTTCATCTTTCATATATCTCCTTTCACACAGAAAAATGGAAGCCATTCAAAAATGGAATATGGCAGCATTTTCTTGTTTGTGCTCGTACTTTTGTGACAATATGTTTCTCTCAGACACACAAATGATGGTCTTGAAGCCATGGGAAACATGATGCACTATGGTTTTAAACCAACTGATTTCTATACAGAACTAAATGTTTGTATAATATAGGGCTTTTTGGAGACTTGAACCAGGAAATTAATTTATTTTAGTTTAGTTTTTGGAAAGCAAAATATAGAAGAGGAAGTCTGGGAGCACTACACCAACAATGGAATCAATTGCTATAGTTAATTTTCATGTGTGAAGAAAGTATGAGGAAGGGTCCTTTAATAAAAATAGTAATAAAAAAATAATATAAATATAGATATAGATATAGATATAAATATAGATATAGATATAAATATAGATATAGATATAAATATAAATGTAAATATAAATATAATAATAATAGAGATGGCACTCTGAAAATATTGGTTGTTGATTAGCAGAAAATGTATTCATTAAAGGCATGGAAAGAAGGAGTAAAATCAGTTTTCATCTTCTTAGTCTTTCAAATTTCTCATTTTGAGGCAAAAATGGAATCTCCCTTTTCCCTGTCTTTATTAATGAATTAATCTAAGTTGTTATCCCTGGGGTATGAGAATTAGGCTGGGAAGTGGCTAAGATAAATATGTTTATCTGTTCTAGGTTTCAGAGCAGAAAGCTGGCATAATGGCAGGGATAATGTGAGAGATGGGTTGGACATGAAACTTTCTGGCTAAGCAAGCAAGACAGCCTTCTTCTGAAAATCGATGGATTTTGCTGGAATAAACTTTCACCATGGCTCCTTTCCTGCTACAGAGTGTATGACATGGCACAGAACTGTGTTGTAGCCAATGCTTTTCCAGAGTCATGTTTACTGGGCACAGGGAGCAGAGCAGGCAGAGCAGCAAATCACTTGTTCCCCGGTGACAGCAGCCAGGAGCAAATGTGCCTTTCCAAAACAGCTCGTGGCCACTGCTGCCTGTCCTGCTGCTGCTTCCTTGAAGAGAGGCTACAGGCCAGAAAATCTAGTGTGGTTTGTAAACCTGCTTCCAGCTGCTGTTTTTCTCTGCCTGCACTATTTTTTGGGAGGAGGACCTTGGGGCACTTGGGAGAGGCATTTCTGGGAGTGAGCTTGTCCTGGAGGCAGTGTGCCAGCTCCCTTATGGGGATTTTTGCTGCAGCTTGGCAACAGAGATATGATGCCACTCTTGGGTTTACAGGGGGCATAGCATGGTGGCTACCACAGACAACTGAACAAGCAGATTCAGGTCAACAAAGCTGGGTAGATGAAAAACTTCAAAGACAAGTCTCTTATGTTTTGTATTCAACTTATCCTTTTCATTTTTTCCCTTTTCTGTGCTATATGCTTGTATGTACATTTCCACTTGTCATTGATCTGATAGGATGCCTCTTTCTTTTCTTTTCTGCAGGATAAAAGCATGGGTGGATAAGATGCAAGAAGATCTTGTGACGCTCGCACGGACTGCAAGTGGAGTGGACCGGCTTGCTGATGTAAGAAGTGTCCTAGACTGCTGTAATTAGAAAGCAAAGTGAAAGGCTTGCATCTTCTAGGCTTTAAAATCATTTCATCCCAGCATACAAAAATGATTTTGGGGATTAAACTCTGCAGTGCTTACCGAGAGAAAAATGGAGAGCAGACATCCATCACTCAGTGTTGCAGCATCATATTATCAGTTCCTCACTGATAATATTTAACCAGCTTTGCAGGCTGATTAAGGCTTGCCATTGTTGCAACACTTCCACCTGAAGCAAGCACTTGTATCTTCTATGTTTGTCAAATACAGTATCCAGGAAGCAAACATTCACAGTGATGGGGAATTCTGCCCTCTATTAACGAGGGAACCTATCTTTCTGACATGTTTTCTAAAATGAGGCAGATTTTGGTTAGCAGAAATGATGAGAATGGAAACTACTTTAATTCAGCTGTTGAAATTTAAAACCAAGTTTGTTATAGAGAAGAATTTACAAATCTTTCATTGAGTTTTTTTGTGTTATTATTCTATTCATAGATGGTGACTTCACATATGCTATTGCATAAAAATGAAGGCACAATTAAGAACATGTCAGAATTACACTGCCTGTACAGTTTTGTGTGTATACATCAAAATCCAGTATACAACCATATGATCATACATTTCCCTCTCCCTGTCCCTGTGCAAATGCTCTTGCTTTGAACTGATGGATGTCTGATTTGAGGTGAGGGGAAATTTTGCTGCTGCATCAGGAAACTGAGTTGTTGTTTGCTAGCAAAAGCCCCTGGTGCTAGGGAATTGAACGTGAAGCCTTGAGATCTGGTTTTCAGAAAATAATCCCAAATGATCCATGAAATGGATAGCAGAGGTTTTGAAGCTGTTAAGAAACACACAGAAAAAATCTTGGGTGAAGTTGTCAGATTTAGCATTGTGTATTAATGTATTCCTTTGACCTTAATGACCTTTTGCCCAGACATTCATTTCTTGTGTGTATCTTGTCCCAGAAGGACATTTTGTCTTTACTGACTATAAGAGGAGGTCAGATGATTAGCTCAGATGTCCATTAGCTCAGATGAGATCATCACTGTCTTGTAAAAGGAAGGGCTGTGTCACTGCATGCATGATGAGCATGAATGAAGATTACAGAGTTTATTTTAGTGCTGGCCTTTCCTAATATTTGACTGCGTCATATTGCAACACAATTCAAGGCAGATGCTTTAGGTGCACATTCTAATCTTTAAAGACCCTAAACAAACTGAAAACAAAATCTTGAAATCCTAACACAAATCATCAGATTTGTACAAGCATGGGTTTCCAATGCATAAATGTCTAGCACATGAGTTTCCTGAGGAAATATAAGGTTTGGAATCATGGAACTCTCATTGGAGTTTTTGTAGGTGGATTTCACACTTATCTGCTGACAGAGAACAACAAGATTTACAAATCATCAGGCTCCAGGTTCTGGTGGGGAACTTCTGCAATTAGTCCTTTTTTGCGTACCTAATGTATGTGTGGTCTGGTCTACTCTGCACTTGCTGTGTCTTTTTCCCTACCATTCAGCATCTTAATTCTGATTCACCATTCAGCTTTCCATTCCTTTCCTGCTGTGTTGCTTGGCTGCCTTTCATTTCTCCTCAACCTATGCTGTTTCTCTCTCAGTTCCTGCCTTTGCTTCTTGGCCACTCTGCCTTTCTATTTCACACTAGTTTCTTGTCTCTGTTTTAGGCTCTCTCTCCTCAGCTTTTTCCAGATCAGCACCTCTTTCTTAACTCCTTCCTTTTTCTTAGCATTTCCAAAACATTCTATCCAGGTATGAGTGGCCAGCCTGTCACGATAGTCTCATCTCTTCTATTCCACAGGAATTGCTCTTCCCCCTTTCTCACTTTTTCCTCCATCACTAATTCTCAGTCCCAAAGCTGTAATTTCCTCGTGTATGATTTTTCTATTTCACCTTCCAGTCTCATTTTCCCCTTACTCTTTGCTTGCTATTTTCCAGTCTTTTCTCCTGTTTCCTGTATCTGTCTCTTGCACTTTGTCCTTCATTCAGTTTTCTTCTCCTTCACCTCTCGGGTGTAGACCTGAGAGATCACAGCAAGTCTGATCTTTAACTGTAGAGGAGGTGGGACATTCTCTAGGAGTGATGATCTCTGAGTTGGAATACACCTGTGTTCTCAGCTATTTAGCTGATGAAATCTCTGCAGTGATCTGCAGGTCCTTTTCAGGCTAAAATTTTTTTAACACTAAGGACTAAAATATATCTTTAAATACATAGAATTCAGGCTTTAATCTACAATTAATAGGCAATAAGAAAATGAGTTACACAGGTTTTCTAACTGGAGCAAAACAATGAGTTAATGTCTCAACCATTTTTCTATGCCTTTTTGTGCAAGAACCACAGTTCTTAGTAAAATAGATAATGAAAAGCCAAGAGATTGATGATGTCATTCTTTTTTTCCTGAGGAAAACATTTTTTATGTAGTTAATATTTGGCAAATTTGCAAGCTGCTAAACAGTCTTATGATGAAAACTGCTGGGCAAGCCTAATAATCTGTAGTGCTACCAGCTTTGCCACAGTGACATTCATGTGGATAAAAACAAAATGAGTGTGTGAATACTATAGGTAAGTTTCTTTGGAACAGCCTGAATTTACAACAGACTTCAAGCAAATAATACTATCTCAGAGGATACTCACAAGGTGGTCGATATGTGCTTGTAATCCTAGGATTTAAAGCATGAAAGGGGGATGTTTCCATGTAAAATATCAAAGCCATGTGTTTGACCGACGTGGCACGATGTCTTTCTCTAGGCTTGAGGTTTTAATTAGCTCTCTTGGCTGCAAGGGAAAATGCTAAGCCCTGCAAGGTGTAAGCCATGAAGTCTCTCTCTCCTTCTTTACAGGCTATTGTCACTTTCCCATTTCTGAATGATATCCTTCTTTTTTCTTTTTTTTTCCTGCTCACTGCAAATTAACGTTCAGTTAGATGTCTTCTGATATGAACCACAATCTTGGAGAAATGGAGACTACAAGACATGAAAAACAGCATGCCTGCATGCTTGTCACTTTTATTCACAGAACTTGCCTTCAGTTGCTCAAGCTTTAAAAATGCTTACAGTCAGATTGAATTTTCAGCTTACTTTGTGATTTATTTCTTCTTCCAACTCCAGAATTGTTTGGATCAAACCTGTAGTCTCCATGTAAACTTGAAAAAATAAATACTTTGTTTGGGTTTTCTGCCCTTTCTCATTCTAAAAGCAGAATGAATAACATAAAACAAAGGAGCAGACTTGCTCCTATTATAAAATAGTAAACATGACTTTCTGTCAAAAGCTGTAATAATCAGATTGGTTGGAGAAATGTCTTCCCTTGTTCTAGGGAAACTTAATATTAATTTGGCCAAGTATGTGTTGAATTTCTTAGCAAGAACATGTAACAGATTATAACCATTTCACAGCCTGGTCAACCTCTCCTGGACTCAGGGGAAGAATTCCCACTGATTCAGCTGAAGTTACAATCTGTGTCTGCTTTGTGCAGTTAAGTCTTCTGTGATGATCTCTGAAGTGGTCCCCCTATTATCCAGGAGGAGGCAGTCAGAGAACTGCTGAGATGTTTGGATATTCATAAATCTATGGGACCAGATGGGATCTATCGCAGGGTGGTGAGGGAGCTGGCAGATGAGCTTGAAAAGCTGCTTTCCATCATTTACCAACAGTCCTGGCTCACTGGTGAAGTTCCAGATGGCTGGAAGCTTGCCAATGTGACACCTATTCACAGAAAGGGTAGGAATGAGGAGCCTGGTAATTATAGGCCAGTCAGCCTGACCTCAGTACCTGGTGAGGTAATGGAACAGTTTATACTGGGTGCCATCACACAGCTCTTACAGGATGGCCAGGGGATCAGACCCAGCCAGCATGGGTTTAGGAGGGGTAGGTCATGTCTGACCAACCTGATCTTTTATGACCAGGTGACCCACCTGGTGGATGTGAGAAGAGCTGTGGACATTGTCTATTTGGACTTCAGCAAGGCCTTTGACACTGTCTCCCACAGCAAACTCCTGGAAAAGCTGCAGCCCATGGCTTGGACAGGAGCACTCTGTGCTGGGTTAGGAACTGGCTGGATGGCTGGGCCTAGAGAGTGGTGGTGAGTGGGGCTGCATCCAGCTGGGGGCCAGTGACCAGTGGTGTCCCTCAGGGGTCTGTGCTGGGGCCAGTCCTGTTTAATATTTTTATTGATGACATGGATGAGGGGGTTGAGTCCTTCATTAGTAAATTTGCAGACGACACTAAGCTGGGAGTGTGTGTTGATCTGTTGGAAAGTAGGAGGGCTCTGCAGAGAGACCTGAACAGTTGGATGGATGGGCAAAGTCTGACAAGATGAAGTTTAATAAGTCCAATTGCTGGGTCTTGCATTTTGGCCACAATAACCCCCTGCAAAGCTACAGGCTGGGGATGGTGTGGCTGGACAGTGCCCAGGCAGAAAGGGACCTGGAGGTGCTGGTGACAGCAGCTGGACATGAGCCAGCCCTGTGCCCTGGGGGCCAAGAGGGTCAGTGGCCCCTGGTCTGGATCAGGAATGGTGTGGCCAGCAGGAGCAGGGAGGTAATTTTTCCCCTGTACTCAGCACTGGTGAGGCCACAGCTGGAGTTCTGTGTCCAGTTCTGGTCCCTCAGTTGGGAAGGACCTTGAGACGCTTGAGTGCATCCAGAGGAGGCAACGAGGCTGGTGAGGGGCTGGGAACACAAACCCTGTGAGGAACAGCTGAGGGAGCTGGGATTGTTTAGCCTGGAGGAAAGGAGACTCAGGGGTGACCTTATCACTCTCTACAACTCTCTGAAAGGTGGCTGTGGTCAGGTGGGGGTTGGTCTCTTTCTCCAGGCAGCAGCTGACAGAAAGAGAGGACACAGTCTTAAACTGTGCCAAAGGAAATACAGGTTGGATATTAGGAAAAAGTTTTTCGTGGAAAGAGTGATAAAGTACTGGAATGTTCTGCCTGGGGAGGTGCTGGAGTCACCATCCCTGGAA